ATTTTAGAGAAGTAAATTTTTCGGTCGCTACCCGGATTCGAGCCCAGGACCTTTGAATGAGAGGCCAACACCTTAACCTCTAGGCCACGAGAGCCCCCAAAAAGAGTTTCACAGGCACTTGCACAACTATAAGATCGTATAAGTGCTGAAGACTAGAGAGCAACATACAAAGAAAAGGAAAGGGAGAGAAAAAGATGACAGATGTTTTAGTTTAGTTTTAGTAGGAGTTTTACGGCACTTGCAACACAATAAGTTTATATAAGTGCCGAAGAATTGATGTTACAAGAGAGTAACACACACAAAAAAGAAGGAGGAGAGATAAGGATGATAGGTGTTTGATAGGACAGAAGGAGCAAACCACACCAGAGCACCCGCCAACCACTCACTTATGCAAAGAATGGCACATTAAGACATAAACAGTTGTTTAGGGCAGCAGAAAGTAAGACAGATAGAAAAAACGGATGGACAGAAAAGAAGTAGGACGTTGAGTTTGCTAAAAGAGAAAGAAGCACATCAACACAAGCCTTGTTTAACTCCTTTTTTCTGGCAAGCCGCTCCCAGAGGCTCCTGCACATTCATTTACAACCACTTCCGTTTTAACATAAGTAGAGGAGTTTTACGGCGCTCGCAACTGCATAAGGTCATATGAACGCCATGACGACATCCACATCAGTTAGTTTTCAGCAACCGCCGAAAACAGGTCCCTTTTACCAAGTGGTCTTTCATAGGATGAAGAACTATCAGAATAGGTTGTTTTGTTTTGAAAAGAGAGAGAGATGTGATCTTTGATGTTAATCCTCCGCGGATCTTTTGTCCAGCGACTTTCCCTTCACTCTTTGTTTGCCTTTAGTTTTTGTTTTAGTAGAGGTTTTACGGAGCTCGCAACTGCATAAGGTCATATGAGCGCCAAGGGGTGGAGGTCAACAGAGAAGTCCAAACGGGGAATCAGGCTTACTCTACTCACTTCTCTAGCCTCAACAGCACAAAGTCTGCTTTGACTATCAAAGCACCCAGGAAATAGCAGTTCATAGGAGAATGAGAAACATATAAAAGAAGAAGAGGAAAAATGACGTTAATAAGGGTGAGCAAAGAAAAAGCAGCAGTTCCCCCTATCGCGACCTCTGTGCTTTCTTGTTGTATCTCCATTTTTTTAAACAGTGAAAATGTGACTTCTTCTTAAAAGCTCAATCTTTGTTATGAACTGTTTTCACTCACTGTT